GCTGTTATCGATCGCTACCTTCCCGTTCATCAGTGAGGTCACCCGCCGTTGCCACTTACAGCTACGTTAGTGTGACAGAACCCATCGATCAGTTCAGTTCCACTCCCATCAGCGAAATCAATCTTACGGCCGCATACATGGCTGTGACTTTAATGACCCTTATTCCAAAAGTGATTACAAGCACTGAATAAAAACACTCGACTGTCCCCACGGTTTTTACCGGAGAAAAATTTACATTTAATGAGAGTTATTTGTAACAAAGGCATAGATCGTTTGTCTTAGTTTGATCCTTCATCGGAAATCAATCGTATACCTTAGTAATCGACTCAAAATTCGAGCATTCACTAGATCCAGTGACTGCTGTGCTTCTTGGATTGAGATTACTTTCGTTGCATTCACTGCTCCAGATTCATCTTTGCTGAGCTTAGATTGTTTCGCAACGAGCTGATCTAAAAACTAAAACTGAGATTTGAAATAAAAATTCTAAAGAAGCAGTTTGTTCTTCAACAAGACACTCGCTGTCGTCCGGTTGAATATCACGCTTAACCTATCGCGGCCTTATGTGGTTCGCCACTCCAAGTCCTGGGGCTTAGGTTGCCGGAAAAAATCATTGAACAGCACGTCTTCGTGACGATGGGATTTTCTCCGTCTGCTGTTCATCCCACAAAAGTGTGTAATAAAAAAGGAGTACCTACCAGTGATTGGGAGTGGTATTAACTGGTCAGCAAAAGCTCAACCTGGTGGGATTGAATAACTTGTATTTCTGCTGATATGATATTGGGAGGCCAGAAATCGCGAGTGATGGATCACGTAAAGAAAAAAAGAATGATTTTGTTGTATAATGTGTTTCAACAGTTAGAAATTCTGAACAGTAAGCTATGGCACACACACAGAACGGTNTGTGCATCACAATAAGGTTTCCGGTTTCCACCAGTGAGCAGCAGGTCCTCCTGACTATGGGGTTCGTCTCGTCTGCTGTTCAACACACTTGGGTGTGTAATAAAAAATAAAAAAGTCGTGAATAAACAGAACATACCAAACCTTGAAGCAGGTAGCATTTATCTTCCGATGGCTGCATTATCGGCTCATTCAATGTGGTTTTGAATTCACTTTTCATGATAGCGTTAATCAGTGCGCGTCCACTAGCCAGTTTGGCCCTTGCTTTATATTTCTTGTCTCCCGAAACTGGT